AAAACCATAAATCCCTCATTTAGAGTTGCCACATTGTCTTTACTTCTTTGTATGCGTACACATTATTCTAATTTTCACTGAACCATTTAATAAGTTCTAGATAGGATACTTCTAAATACTTGAATATGTATCACCCAAGGAGATACAATTGACACATTCAGGAAATGTGATATTGATAGAGTAGTATTATCTGATGTGCAGATCTGTCTCAATGATATCTATCTTTTATACCAGTAATAGTAACTACCATGAAGTCCCCATCAGGGAAACAGTCCAGGATCACACATTAGATTTAGTTGTCATGTTTCTTTAATATTAATTTTCTCAGTCTTTCATTGACGTTAATATTTCTGAAAAATATAGATCATTTGTTTTCTAAAATGACTCTCAATATAAGCTTGTTTTATACTTGTCCATGATTAGAGAATCAGAATAGAGAATCTGGGAAGAAATGTCACACAGATGACGTTGTGTCTTCATAAGTATACCACCCAGCAAGTACATGATGTCAGATGCGCCATCACTACTGTGGTTAACTTTGAGCACTCAATCTGGATGGTGTTCATTAGATTTCCCTGTAAAGCTATCTTTTTTTCATTATAACTCATAAATTTGTAACATAGAATTTAATTATATAAGTTATAGTTTCTCTGTGAAGAATACTGTAAAACTATGTAAATATCCTATTCCCAAGAACTTTTTAACTGCATAGTTTTAGGATCCCTGGAAATTGTTGCCTGAATCAATTAAATAATATCCTTGCGAAATGATGGATTACATAACTCATTCCTTATACAAGTTGGCATTCTGTTGAAAAGAAGAGGCTTTTCTTTCCCATTTGTTTGTTTGCTTGATTGACTACTTGCTTATAAATATTGACTGAGGATTATTTTCTTTAAGTGTATCATATAATCAGTTGCTATCATTCATTGTAATGCTCATATTATCATACAATTGGCCTATGTAACTTCACTGATCCCTAAGATTTCTCTCCAAACTAGGGAGACAAATCCTTGGTGCAGAGAGGAGTAGCATTTTTAGCCTATTCAGAGTGTTTCTCAGATTTTAATTGCATATGAAGATCCTGGGCCCCAGATTCTTCATTCCTGTCAAGTTCCCTCATAATGATGATAGTCCATGGACTGCAGTTGAAAATATCAAAGCCATTTCATTCTGAAGGCTGGCCTTAAAGAGTTAAAGAAAAACATTTTTGCTTTTTGTATTCCTATAAGAATTACCTCATTAGCAAGGTAGAGAATGACCTTTTGTAAATTCATGAGCTCTGGTAGCACAGGGGAGGGAAGAGACACCTTGCCTGCTTGATTCCCAGAAAGTAGGATTACTAGGATCACTGTGATCACCACATTTATGCTTGATTTTGCATTTGTCTTAAAATGTTGACTTTTCAGAGAGGTGGCTTCAGTTTTTGGTATCTGGGATTGTGGAAATAGTGACATTTTCAGTAATGGATGTGAATCTACCACTCTTCTTCATTAGTTATTATTATTTATTGATATTAAACTCTCCTCAAATTTGGGAATGAGGACATGGTTCATGTGATAAAAGCAATTGCCTAGTCATTTTGAGGCCCTTAGTTCAAACACCAGTACTGCCAAAGGATTGGGAAGACCAAGGCGGAGGAGGAGAGAGAAGGGGGAGTAGTGGGGGAGGTTGTTCTTTTTGTTCTGAGAATGTGAGATAACTGCCATTGGCAGATTTCAGTATCTCTTGGTTGAATAATTTCTCTTTAAAACTCATTTTAGACAGATTATTGTCAGTACTATGGTCATTTGTAATTTGTAAACATTACATTCATAAAAATTCCAAATATACATGGTACTTTTTAATTGCTCAATAACCTTGTTTAGCTTATTTCCCTGACATAATTTTATTTGCCGATCTGTTATTGGACATATATTTTCTCCTTGGTTCATTCTGTTAAGAATTGACAGTGTTTTTTTCTTATAGAAGAAGAAAACTTTACAACTGAGGGACTCCCCTAGAAAACGTCTTAAAGGATACTTTAGAAATCAGAGGAAAGCTGCTGATATAAAATAATGACTACGTAGTTTATTAGTCACAAGTAGGAATTGGGGAATGAATGAATGTGGAAGGCATTTATGTCAATTCAATTAACAGAATCTGAAAGATTTCCAAAATGAGTCCTTTCACTTTTTCTTTCCCTCCTTTAATCTCTACCATTCGTTCTTTGCTTTTCTGGCATTTAAATAAGATAGCTGATCATAACATCAGATTTCTGTAAAGCTTCATCAAGTTCTGATATAAATGACTCATAATTTCTTAGGTGTCAGTGCTCTCTCTTAGCTTCCCATTCTTTGCATCCCTGGAGAGCGAGGCTAGATTTGTTTCCCTTATTGAAAGAACCTACCTGCTGCTATAGCCCTTGTCTGTACGAGAGAGGGCTACAGCTTTGGTGATTTGTCCCATGATCACATTACAATACTTAGAAAGTTCATTCGATAATAAAAACGTAGTTAGAATTTCATTCTCCCTCCCTCAATAACATATGTCTAATAGAATGGTGTTTAATATAGCCACACTAGGAAAATACCTCCTCTCAAACCTACCTAAAATCTAATAAGCTACTTAAGTAGATATCTTTAAGTCCTCTTTGTTGGAGGATTCACCTGAAGGTTTCTAGTCTCCAGCTGCATAACTGGCTTAAACTTGTAAGAGATCATTGTCCCAGGGGCCCAGTTGTTACTATAGAAGCAAGGACCACAGAACTTCTGGTCTGCGCAGGCCACCATCACAGTATTCTAGGGTTTGTCCATGGCTGAGTGCCCAGCCCTGTGGAGAGAAGAAAGGCTGTTCAGTGCCTCTAGTGCTAAACACCTGGTACCAATTAGATCACACCTGCTTTCTGCTGTTTGGTTTCTCCCTCTCTTCTATGAGCTACCCTTTAAAAAATCATTGAAACCTAAAAATATTTCATAGTCTAGCTCACATTTCCATATATCTCTTTATAATCTATGAAAAGGACATGGATTCTTTAGCTAATGGGAAACAAGAGGAAAAGTTTTACCTATTCATTCATTGAAATGTAGAATATCTTATTCTTTCTGACACTGAAAAATTCTCAGAAGACCTGCTTCCAAAAACCTAGGACTGTCAACATCCTTCACAGTGCCCAAAACAGTGTTTAACATGTGTTAGGGAATGGGAATTCTTTATTGAATACATGATCCAAAACAAGAAAGGACGGCAACTGAGTACATTGTGTTTTCACATCTCATTTATCAGCTATTTAATTAAATGCCCAAGTACTCCAGCATGACCTCATCTTAACTTCATTACACCTTTAAAGACTGTATTTCCAAATAAAATCACATTCACCCGTACCAGATTTTAGGACTTCAGCGTTTCTTTTAGGGGCACACAGTTCAACTCATAACAGGCATTTAGAATGGATTTATGCAGTACTTAATGGGAGATACTTAACATTTAATGTGGCACATTAAAATGATGACATTACTAAACAAAATATAAAAAACATGAATTGTTTACATGGTTGTCAAGTATGGATATTATAAACGTCAACTTTTAAAAACAATTCTACTAGTTGGTTTTCTTAATGGCTAATTTATTGTTGGATGCTTTTAACATGAGATGTCTTAGTTGACATAAAGACTTCATTTAGGCTGGAGGGGTATATTAAATGATAGAGCACTTGTAGCGAGTGTGAGGCTGAGTTCCAATCCCAGTACCACCATCAAAAAAAAAAGACTTCATGCAAGAACTTATGCTTGTGCTTATAAGTTTAGTTTATGACTACAAAAAGTCATTTCTAGTAGAAATCAGTGTTCAACTTAAAACCTCTGACTTCATGGGTTAAAAAGGATTAAAGAATATTTAAGAAAATACTGTGACCTACCAATTTATAATAAGCAAATTTTGCAGTAAACTTCCTGGCAGTACTTGTGATAAGCACCATCCTTTTAACATTTTTAGAAAGTGAAGTATCATTGTAAGTTCACATCAGCATCAACAGTCCTTAAAACTTATGAGAGTACATGTGTTTACTTCTTTTAATTCCTTTGGCAGTTCTTTTAATATTTAATATTTAAATGATCTGATGCCAAAGTCTCCTCTTTTACCATTCAACAAACATATAGGTAATAAATGGGCCTCAGTCTTGCTGACTTAGCACAGCTAAGTGCCTTGAAATCCCTTCACCTATACACAGATACACAGATTCTTTTTGATTTGCATACTATAGCCACCTTAAAAAAAAAAAAAAGAAAAAAAAAAAGAGAATGAGCTAGGCTCCAATGGCTCAGGCCTGTAATCCTAGCTACTCAGGAGGCTGAGATCTGAGGATCACAGTTCAAAGCAAGACAACGCAGGAAAGTCAGTGACTCTCTTACCTCCAGTTGAGCACCAAAAGAAAAAACAAAACAAAACTGGAAGTAGAGAGCTGTGGCTCAAGTGGTAGAGCACTAGACTTGAGGGGGAAAACAAAACAAAACTCAAGGACACGCTCAGCCCAGAGTTCAAGCCCTAAGACACACACACACACACACACACACACACACACACACACAGCGCTCAGCCCAGAGTTCAAGCCCCAAGACACACACACACACACACACACACACACACACACACACAGCGCTTAGCCCAGAGTTCAAGCCCCAAGACACACACACACACACACACACACACACACACACACACACACAGCGCTTAGCCCAGAGTTCAAGCCCCAAGACTCACACACACACACACACACACACACACCCGAAAGGGAGAATATTGCAAGTATCTTTCTACATTTTAAAGAGTTCAAGCCCCAAGACAGACAGACACACACACACCCCGAAAGGGAGAATATTGCAAGTATCTTTCTACATTTAAAATTTTTTTGTTTAACATCATTGAAATAAAAGCACACCTCCTTTGCCTTAAGCTGATCAAACCAGAGCTGGTTGCCACAGCTGCAGTGTTCTTATTTTCAAATGTACCCTCTCTTGTTGCAGCTGCTGTGTTTCAAAGGTGATGGGATGGTGGGCTCTCACCACCCTGTTCTTCAGGGCCTCCTCTCGGCCCAGGATCCAGGCTGCTGAAGCTGGCCATGGTGAGGCTGGAGTTCACAGATAACACACTCCAGCATGACTTCCTGAAGTCAGGCCAGCTTACAGCACTCTCCGTAAGTATGCCAGCAGATAGCTAGCTGACTGCTTTAAGCCTGCTTTCTCTTAGGTCAGTACCTGGGAATTCTAGACAGAATGGGAAATTACATTCTCTTTAAATATCACCAGGAATTTTTAGTGTTTGGAAGCCACAAGTGTGTGGCCGTGCCTGCTCTTCGACAAAAGTTTTTTCCTTTTCTCTCTCTTAAAAGACTTCCACCATTGTGACATAGGAGAAAGGTTGAATTACTGCAAACTTTTATAAAACAGAATTAAAGAATATTTTCTAGCCAAGTGTCATAGTACATGCCTATAGCTAGCACTTTGGATTACACTGAGGCAAGGAAGATCATGAATTTGAGACCAAACCTGAGCTACATAGTGAACCCCTGTCTCAAAAACACAAAATGTTTCTAAGTCCCTGGAGTGTTTGATGATGATGATGATGATATAACTTGATAGTTAAGCTATGAAACTTCTTAAAAACTCTTTCAATGAAGTTTTATTGGACTATGGCTATATCTATTAATGTGCATATTCTTTTAGGTAGTTTTATCCCTCCTTGATCAGAGTTAAGTAGTTGCCATAGAAACTGTTTGACACTCAAATCATAAAATATTTACTGTATTTTTTTTTCAGATAAAATTTGCCAGCACCTGCTCTGAGTAGTACTTCTTCTTTTGTTTTTTTTTTTTTTTTTTGGGGGGGGGGTCCGGTCGTGGGGCCTGAACTCTGGGCCTGGGTGCTGTCCCTCAGCTCTTCAGCTCAAGGCTAGCGCTCTACCACTGAGCCACAGCGCCACTTCCGGCTTTTTTCTTTTTACTTATGTGGTGATGAGGAATTGATCCCAGGGCCTCATGCATGCAAGGCAAGCACTCTACCACTGAGCCACCTTCCCAGACCCTTGGTAGTACTTCTTGATTACACAATAATCTGTTTGAGTATATGAAAGGACCCTTAGGGATTTTGTATCCCAAATCTAAAGCAATTTTATATTTCAAGTCACTTCATAAAGTGACTTGCCAAGGCGCCTACTATTGGCTGGAGATTTTCTTTTATCTATTTTTAAAAGCAGAAATTTTTAATGCATAGTGATATATATAGTCATAGAATAATAATTTTTCAGTTCAGAGTATTTGCTTCCAATATTTATGTATAGAGAAGGCAAATTGTAACCCAGAAAGTAACTTTGTAGAATCAGAGTTAAAAATGGTGACTGGTAATTTTGTCTAATAAGCTGCCCTTGAGTTGCATCAAAACACACACTTCTGGGAGAGGTAGAGGAGGGAAGAGATAATAGGAAAAAACAAAGGAGGGGTAACAACATTTGACAAGAAATGTACTCATTACTTACTCATGCAAGGTACATACAGCATCTTTACAATAAAATAAAATTTAAAAACACACACACATCTCTGGTTCCTGGCCCAAATCAATGTCTCCTACTGCTAGGCAGGGTTGCTAACACATACTGCTCTTTACATTGCTCTTTTTGTACTCCATACTAATCATTCTTTTTCTGTTTACATAAACTTTTTCCAGACAGAGTAGATATAATTGATTATGGCTAGTTTTACTAAGTATACCATGTTTCTGCCACTCCTGCCTACCTAAACTAAACCCAAGTCATTCCATTGGAGTTTTGAATGTTTGTAAAACTTGTTGATTTCTGTGAACAACTATTCTCTAATTTCACATTGACATCACCAACTTAATCCATTGCTTTCATATTTCACTCATTTGCCTCATAGAAAACAACCTTATTTTCAAATTCCTATAGGGTAAAAAACAGATACCTTGAAGCAGAGTTAGATAATTAGCTTTTGTCTAAGGCATAAAAGCAAACAAGTAGTTGTATGAAGGTATTTGATCTAATTATTTGTTTATCATGAGGCCTTAAGTTATGTCCTAATGTTTCATTGTCATTTTTATCTAAATACTATGGAACAGTATAGATAAGAGATTCTTAAAGTTAATTCAGCAAGCATCTTTTGCTCTAATATGCAGTGAATATTAGTTAGGTTATCTCATTTAATCATCATTAAACATGTTGATGTGATATGTACTTTTACTATAGCCATGTTGAGAAACCCAAGGTAGAGTTTGGTTGCTTGCACCAGAACATGAGGCAGTAGAGATTGTGTCCATATTTGAATATGAGCAGCCTTGAGTAGAAAGACAGACATCTTATATTTACTTGTTCACTGGCTCGTTCATCCATTCAACAAAAATTGAACCAGAATCTGTTACGTTTTAGATTCAATTTTAGTAGTTAACAGTGAGGACCAAAGTTGTCCCTTGTGTACTTTATGCTGTTAATGCTTTTCTGTACATCCATCTTATATTTTCCTCTGTTATCTAACCTAAGATGCTTTAATGATAGTACTTGTATCACTTTCTCATCCATCAGGTGTCAGATATTTTATAATTGGAAGGATCTTTTCCAGTCAGCTGAGATAACCCCTTTCCAACAGAAGTAAGCTTGAATACAGATACAGTTTCTTTCCACTTGAAGTGTGGAGGGCCAGTTATCACAGCTTCTGAGACTTGTGTAAAGCTTATTACCCTGAAGGTCAAGAATTAGTATTTCTAGTTGATGTCTCCTGGCTTTCATTGAAGCCAGTTTTCTCTTTGGTTTGCCACAAACCTGGGAAAAAGTCAGATTACCTCTTTAAATAGTTGAAAATAGAATGAGTTCAGTAGTTTACCTTTTTTATTTTCAATTTTTTTTCTTTTGTGAGGAGGCTCAAATTAGAATTGTGAATAGAAGGGAAAAGGTCTTATCCTCTCCTAGTGCTCTGTTAGCTTCCTCCCTTTATTTCTCCACCTGTCAGCCAGCAAGGAATTACCGTAATTACACTGCTACAGTGTCAACTCATAACTAAAACCTTATGTCCTTCCTTGGTCTTTCTTCCTAAGGACTAAGGAAGATGCAATTCCTGGTAGATCTGAGAACAAATAACTCAACTGAAGGCTCATTAATTATGATCCAGCATGGAGAACTTATATTTTAATGAAAAAAAATTCTGTTACCCCCTCATTAAAGGGGATTTAATAGTCATTATACACTACTTCAATTTCACTACTTCTACTTAATTTTTTAATATAAGAACTAGTTTTCTTTGGATTTAGCAAAATATCTAGGTTTCCCCCTTTATTTTGAAATTTGGGGTGTGCTAAATATGGACATCAGAGGAAAAAGAATTTCTGACCATTGCATTTTTAGTTTGTATTGATTTCATTACTCTGGTTCCAAGTATTCATTCCACAAACATTCTTTGACTATATTGCATCATCCAAACATTTGTTGAACCTTTGTAATAGCATTGCTAGGTACTATTCAATGTCTGGTATTTTCAAAATTACTACTATACTTTAACATTTCTTACAGTGCTTCATAGCTTACAATTTGAAAGGCATTTCTTGTGTTAGGAGTAGAAATGCCAGCTACCAAGGAGTTGGAAACAGAAAGATCATGTTTTGAGGCCCTTTTTATTCAATCCTCAATCTCAAATTTAAAGAAGAAAATTCTCACCTGTTATCTCACTGCATGATTATTATAACATGTAAGTGTATAGAAAAGGGGCTGGGAAGGTGGCTCAGTGGTAGAGCACTTGCCTTGAATGCATGAGGCCCTGGGTTTGATTCTCCAGCACCACATAAGCAAAAGGGAAAAATGCCAGAAGTGGCGCTGTGGCTCAAGTGGTAGAGCGCTAGCCTTGAGCTGAAGAGCTGAGGGACAGCGCCCAGGCCGAGAGTTCAGGCCCATAACTGGACCCAAAAAAAAAAAAAAGTATATGGAAAAAATTTCCCCGTAGACTCCTGGTTAAGATGACAATATAATGTCCATTTTTATTGGAGAAAAACAAATCTGAGGGAGATGTAATTATTTGCCCTGCCAAAACCAGTTTCTTTTTTTTTAAATACGTTTTTTATTATAAAATATTCTGTACAGAGGAGTTACAGTTACATGAGCAAGGTAATGAGTACATTTCCTATCAAGCATTGTTACCTCCTCCTATGTTTTTCCCCTATCCTTCTGGCTCTAGACCTGATACCTTTTTTTCTGAAACTCAACTATCTATAAAATCAGGACATTTTCTCCAATTTTTTTCCTCTGGTATTTAGTTGTTTATGTCTTTAAAGTTTCACAATGGCTCCTAACTTAGAGTGATTTACATTCAGATTTGATGGGTTCTTCTTGGTTTTTGCCTTGAAGCCATTTGCTTAATGTATGATCCTTGAGAATTTAATCTGACCCTCCAAAACAAGTTATAGTTTTGTAAATATGTTTTGAAATGTCATAGTCTTATAATTGAAATATATCCAGCTCTCCCTTATACTTTGTGCCTATTGGAATTCCATTCTCTTGTTATTCTAGTATGGTGGGAATTGGCTCCAGCTAGCCAGTAGCATGATAGTAAAGAAAACCTGGTTAGTTTCTTCTGCCACTTAAAGGAGAAATAAGTTGTCTCTTCTTTTTAGCATAATATGTTGTATAAAGCACTTAGAAATATTTATCTAGTTCCATCTTACTCAGACTAACCTGTCCCTATACTTAATCGCTTTTTCTGTCTTCATTGGTAGTATATTGACTTAATGTCTCCCTCATTCTGGCTTTCTAGTTTGGAGATTGTGTCTTGTAGTCTTTGTAACTGGCAGGGAAGGTACATAGGCCTGATTTTTTTTTTGCTACCTATAATGCTTCTTTCAATTGGAGTTCTAGCCACTTGACCATGCTCTATTTAATAGTTTATTAATAAAGTTGGCATATTTCTCTAAAATTGTTTCTTGTGGATAAGTCTCTACTCCCTGGAGTGATTTTAATTAATAGTCCTAGAGGACCGGAGATTATACTTTTACATATCTTTTGTAAAGATGGTTCCAAAAAGAAATACAAGAAAGAATATTCCGGATCTGTCTTGTGCAGTTATTCAGTAAATATTTATTCATACGTTTACCGTTTGCTGTCAGCTCCACTAGGGGTGCATAGTCAGATGGTAGATCCACTGGGTTT